ACTACGCACAGTTTGTCCCAAATGGCACCTTATTCCCTATATAGTGCACTACTTTTGACCAGGACCCCTGCACTACTTTTGTCCCATAGGACCCTGGTCAAAAGTAGTGCACTATATAGGGAATAGGGTGCCATTTTGGGACGCATTCAGTGTTTTAAAGCAGGTGCTAGGGATCAAAGAATGATGTTGCTCAATAACTAAAATAAGTGAAGCCTCAGCACGACGGTCCCATGTGGTTTATACTAACAATCCTAACCCCAGGTTCTCGGTCAGGGTTGCAACATAAACCACATGGGGGAATAAAAAGGGATCACGGTGTTCTGTCTCTGGGGGTCGTGTCCCAAATGCCACTATTCCCTTCATAGTGCGCTACTTTAGACCAGAGCCATATGGGTCCCGGTCAAAAGCAGTGCACTATATAGGGAATAGGGTGCCATTTGGTAGTGACCCTAAATGGTATGTATGCAGCTGCTGTTATCACTGTGTCAGACACGAGGCCAGGCAAGGACACAGAAAACTGTGGCAGCAGCTGAAGCAGTCCTATCTAGAACAGGACGTGTCTCCAGATAACATAACTACTCTTCACGATAACCACCGTGCGTTACAAACAGAACACATTCATAAAATGTTTCTCTGTTCTTTCATAAGGTCAGAAAATAAGCAGTCCGACTCCCACACAACGGATCAGGGAAGAAAAAAAAAGGATTTCAGTTATTCAGCTCAGTGGTCTTGGAATTCTCTTCAGACCAGTTTGAAACTCCAGGAGGAGTTTAAAAGTTTGGTTGATCGTCATTCGGAATAGTATGTTTTCTGTAATTAAAAAATGTACAGTACCAGTTAAAAGTTTGGACACCTACTCATTCCAGGGTTTTTGCTTTATTTTTACTATTTTCTACATTGTAGAATAATAGTGAAGACATCAAAACTATGAAATAACACACATGGAATCATGTAGTAACCAAAAAAGTATATATATATTTTAGATTTGAGATTCTTCAAATAGCCACCCTTTGCCTTGATGACAGCTTTGCACACTCTTGGCATTCTCTCAACCAGCTTCACCTGGAATGCTTTTCCAACAGTCTTGAAGGAGTTCCCACATATGCTGAGCACTTGTTGGCTGCTTTTCTCAATTGGGTTGAGGTCGGGGGATTGTGGTGGCCAGGTCATCTGATGCAGCACTCCATCACTCTCCTTCTTGGTCAAATAGCCCTTACACAGCCTGGAGGTGTCTTGGGTCATTGTCCTATTGAAAAACAAATGATAGTCCCACTAAGCCCAAACCCTATGGGATGGCGTATCGCTGCAGAATACTGTGGTAGCCATGCTGGTTAAGTGTGCCTTGAATTCTAAATAAATCACAGACAGTGTCACCAGAAAAGCACCCCCACACCATAACACCTCCTCCTCCATGCTTCACGGTGGGAACCACACATGCGGAGATCATCCGTTCACCTACTCTGCGTCTCACAAAGACACGGCGGTTGGAACCAAAAATCTCAAATTTGGACTCATCAGACCAAAGGACAGATTTCCACGGGTCTAATGTCCATTGCTCGTCTTTCTTGGCCCAAGCAAGTCTCTTCTTATTATTGGTGTCCTTTAGTAGTGGTTTCTTTGCATGAATCAGGCCTTCATGGTCGAATTGCTGCAGTCTCCTCAAAACAGTTGATGTTGAGATGTCTATGTTACTTGAAGTCTGTGAAGCATTTATTTGGGCTGCAATTTCTGAGGCTGGTAACTCTAATGAACTTATCCTCTGCAGCAGAGGTAACTCTGGGTCTTCCTTTCCTGTGGCGGTCCTCATGAGAGCCAGTTTCATCATAGCGCTTGATGGTTTTTGCGACTGCACTTGAAGAAACTTTCAAAGCTCTTCATGTCTTAAAGTAATGATGGACTGTCGTTTCTCTTTGCTTATTTGAGCTGTTCTTGCCATATTATGGACTTGGTCTTTTACCAAATAGGGCTATATTCTGTATACCACCTTATACAGGGTGGATTAGGTAAAGCAATTCCACAAATTAACAAGGCACACCTGTTAATTGAAATGCATTCCAGGTGACTACCTCATGAAGCTGGTTGAGAGAATGCCAAGAGAGTGCAAAGCGGTCATCAAGGCAAAGGGTGAATATCAAATATATTTTGATTTGTTTAAAACTTTTTTGGTTACTACATGATTCCATGTGTTATTTCATAGTTTTGATGTCTTCACTTTAATATACAATGTAGAAAATAGTAAAAATTAAGAAAAACTCTGGAATGAGTAGGTGTGTCCAAACTTTTGACCGGTACTGTATGCGTCTACGTCTATAAATCTCTTGATGCTGTGTCTAAATTGTTATGGCCGATATTTGTCCGAAACATTGTTCCCCCTGTTGCCGTCTTGGTTGGACCAGCACTCTTGAAAAATAGATTTGATATTTTATCCCGGCTTGCTTCCCAATCCCAGATTAAAGGGCTTGTTTCCCAATCACAGATTAAAGGGCCCGTTTCCCAATCCCAGATTAAGGCTGCTGCTAGCGGGACTAGAAAGCTCCTTTAGTTAAAAAGAGACAGTGTTTAAATCCAGGAGGAAGGATTCATCTGATTGGCCTTCAGTGGCTCCAATGGTAAGAGCGTGGCACTAGCAACGCCAAGGTTGTGGGTTCAATTCCCGCAGGGATCACATACTATAAATGCTTTGGATAACAAAAATGTCTGCTAAGTAGCAGATATTATTATGATGATGTGAAGAGTTGGACTTTGTTTGCTGTCTGTTTGCCGGTCTGTTTAGCCCCCACTTCGCTAAATTCTCCTACGCAACCTTGTTGCGTTTCCCTGCCTGACCACTACTCCCATGCATCTGTTGTTTCCCTGCCTGACCACTACTCCCATACATCTGTTGTTTCCCTGCCTGACCACTACTCCCATACATCTGTTGTTTCCCTGCCTGACCACTACTCCCATACATCTGTTGTTTTCCTGCCTGACCACTACTCCCATACATCTGTTGTTTCCCTGGCTGACCACTACTCCCATACATCTGTTGTTTCCCTGCCTGACCACTACTCCCATACATCTGTTGTTTCCCTGCCTGACCACTACTCCCATACATCTGTTGTTTCCCTGCCTGACCACTACTCCCATACATCTGTTGTTTCCCTGCCTGACCACTACTCCCATACATCTGTTGTTTCCCTGCCTGACCACTACTCCCATCCATCTGTTGTTTCCCTGCCTGACCACTACTCCCATCCATCTGTTGTTTCCCTGCCTGACCACTACTCCCATACATCTGTTGTTTTCCTGCCTGACCACTACTCCCATACATCTGTTGTTTTCCTGCCTGACCACTACTCCCATACATCTGTTGTTTTCCTGCCTGACCACTACTCCCATACATCTGTTGTTTCCCTGGCTGACCACTACTCCCATGCATGTCCAACATTATGTTGTGTTGGACATGCTGAGATCTGCATATTTGTCACCTTAGCATGTTTTGCACTACAGGATGTTATTTGCGTTAATTGAGCTGTAATAAAATTCAGCAGTTGAATGTTCTCAGGACAGCTACAAATACACTTTTTGAAGTTACCCCAGAGTTTAAAGCGTGGGTGCAAACGTCCTTGAGGGCCACACAACATTAGAGTTCAGAACCCAGGACACACACCTCCCGCCTATCCAATGGTAGCTATGGAAAACACTTGACAGAGGTGTGTTTGATTGTTTACCTTGATGTTGAGGCTGGAGACCACCTCGTCTCCGTCTGAGTCCTACACTTTGAAACACATTTCAGGAGTTAGCCAGGTAACTTTGGCCAACTCTGAGTTCAACTGGGGATAACCAGACTATAAAAAAAAGGTGGCTCACCTTTTAGCCAGGTAAGTTTATAACGGCAACAAATCCTTCAGATCTAACCTGCTGTTTGGCAGGCTAACTCACGGATAACTCCACTTACCCTGAATTAAATGACGGAGCTGCGAGTTGAGGACCAGTGAAATCAGATTTCCTCCCTCTCGCAAAGATTGTCATCATCCCCTTCATTTGAGGAAGACAGCTGATTAAAGAGCGACTACACTTCCTGATTTGGCCTGTTTTTTTTTGGCTAGCTCATCAAAAAAATGCTGGCGGCCATGACTGAAGCCAAATTAGATTTGTCTTGGGGGTGTGATTCGATATAGCAGTTACTGATGTTTGTCCCCCATGAGACACCATAGTAATCACTTCCTCAAAATAGTCAGAATGAATCTAAGATAAATAAAAAAAATTACAGATTTATTGAGTTGACGTTCTTGCGGAGGAGCTTTTAGTCGTGTAATTTTACATCTAGCTAAAAAGAGGTTTGGTGCAGTATTTCTAAAGTAAAGAAATGTGTTGTCTAATGTAAACAGTGCTGCACTGCGGTTCCCACTAGGATTCTGGGCCACTGGGCTTCTGGGCCACTGGGCTTCTGGGCCGCTGGGCTTCTGGGCCATACGAGTGGATAGACGCAAATCACCGCAGCTGGTTATCCCGCGGTAGAGAGCGCATTGTCGAAATCAAAACCCAACCTTGATTTAGTCGTTTCGACGCACTTCAGTTCCAAACTCCGTTTTAGACGAGAATGACTGACCAGAATGATCCTTTTTACACTTTGAAGTCAATTTTGACACTGGAATAAAAATGTGTGACTCATAGATGCCACATAGGTCTTTAGGGGCAGTCGCTCTTTAGATATTTGATTAATCAAATGTTTTATAAAACCTATCACATTACACATTTGGTAATGACATGATGCCTTTGAAAGTTAATAAAACTTGTATGACTAACATTTTAAAATCGATAGGAGTGGGGGAAAAAAGGTGCATTGTAAAGCACACCAAAGACTGCATTATCGATAAGTAATACAATAAAGATGGATCTTCTAAAAGACTATTTCACACCACAGCCTGATGAATTTGCAATAACTATTTGGCACAAATGAAAAACGTGGCACTAACTCGCCCACGGATTGATGTTTCAGCATCGTCTCAACTAAGAGTTCTGTGTTCGACCGTGTCACGTGCGACATGCACGTGGACGAACAGTATCCACCGTCGTAGTACAGATGAAGCCTGAGCTGGAATGTGAAGCTAACTGCTAGCTGGTTAGCGTTAGAAAACTCTTGAATAGATCTAACTTGCTAAAGTTATGTTGATGGAGCTTGCTTCATATGATATCCCTGAGGTGTCTGTTTTACCTTGATGTTGAGGCTGGACACCACAACGTCTCCTGTTACCTTGATGTTGAGGCTGGACACCACAACATCTCCTGTTACCTTGATGTTGAGGCCGGACACCACAACGTCTCCTGTTACCTTGATGTTGAGGCTGGACACCACAACGTCTCCTGTTACCTTGATGTTGAGGCTGGACACCACAACGTCTCCTGTCACCTTGATGTTGAGGCTGGACACCACAACGTCTCCTGTTACCTTGATGTTGAGGCTGGACACCACAACGTCTCCTGTTACCTTGATGTTGAGGCTGGACACCACAACGTCTCTGTTACCTTGATGTTGAGGCCGGACACCACAACGTCTCCTGTTACCTTGATGTTGAAGCTGGACACCACAACGTCTCCTGTTACCTTGATGTTGAGGCTGGACACCACAACGTCTCCTGTTACCTTGATGTTGAAGCTGGACACCACAACGTCTCCTGTTACCTTGATGTTGAGGCTGGACACCACAACGTCTCCTGTTACCTTGATGTTGAGGCTGGACACCACAACGTCTCCTGTTACCTTGATGTTGAGGCTGGACACCACAACGTCTCCTGTTACCTTGATGTTGAGGCTGGACACCACAACGTCTCTGTTACCTTGATGTTGAGGCCGGACACCACAACGTCTCCTGTTACCTTGATGTTGAGGCTGGACACCACAACGTCTCTGTTACCTTGATGTTGAGGCCGGACACCACAACGTCTCCTGTTACCTTGATGTTGAGGCTGGACACCACAACGTCTCCTGTTACCTTGATGTTGAGGCTGGACACCACAACGTCTCCTGTTACCTTGATGTTGAGGCTGAACACCACAACGTCTCCTGTTACCTTGATGTTGAGGCTGGACACCACAACGTCTCCTGTCACCTTGATGTTGAGGCTGGACACCACAACGTCTCCTGTTACCTTGATGTTGAGGCTGGACACCACAACGTCTCCTGTTACCTTGATGTTGAGGCTGGACACCACAACGTCTCCTGTTACCTTGATGTTGAGGCTGGACACCACAACGTCTCCTGTCACCTTGATGTTGAGGCTGGACACCACAACGTCTCCTGTTACCTTGATGTTGAGGCTGGACACCACAACGTCTCCTGTTACCTTGATGTTGAGGCTGGACACCACAACGTCTCCTGTTACCTTGATGTTGAGGCCGGACACCACAACGTCTCCTGTTACCTTGATGTTGAGGCTGGACACCACAACGTCTCCTGTTACCTTGATGTTGAGGCTGGACACCACAACGTCTCTGTTACCTTGATGTTGAGGCTGGACACCACAACGTCTCCTGTCGGTGTGATGATGGGAAGGTTCTCACAGCTGATGCCCTTCTCCACGTCTATCACCTGACCTGCGCACACACAACGGGACAGTTCAGGACCCAGAATACGCACGCCAACATTATACAGCACCAGTATACCCATTACTAGACATAACACTGTCATAAGCCGGTGTAATAACACTGTAATAAGCCGGTGCGATAACACTGTAATAAGCCGGTGCGATAACACTGTAATAAGCCGGTGCGATAACACTGTAATAAGCCGGTGCGATAACACTGTAATAAGCCGGTGCGATAACACTGTAATAAGCCGGTGCGATAACACTGTAATAAGCCGGTGCGACAACACTAATAAGCCGGTGCGATAACACTGTAATAAGCCGGTGCGATAACACTGTAATAAGCCGGTGTGATAACACTGTAATAAGCCGGTGTGATAACACTGTAATAAGCCGGTGTAATAACACTGTAATAAGCCGGTGCAATAACACTGTAATAAGCCGGTGCGATAACACTGTAATAAGCCGGTGCGATAACACTAATAAGCCGGTGCGATAACACTAATAAGCCGGTGCAATAACACTGTAATAAGCCGGTGCGATAACACTGTAATAAGCCGGTGCGACAACACTAATAAGCCGGTGCGATAACACCGTAATAAGCCGGTGCGATAACACTAATAAGCCGGTGTAATAACACCGTAATAAGCCGGTGTGATAACACCGTAATAAGCCGGTGTGATAACACTGTAATAAGCCGGTGTGATAACACTGTAATAAGCCGGTGTGATAACACTGTAATAAGCCGGTGTGATAACACTGTAATAAGCCGGTGTGATAACACTGTAATAAGCCGGTGCGATAACACTAATAAGCCGGTGCGATAACACCGTAATAAGCCGGTGCGATAACACTAATAAGCCGGTGCGATAACACCGTAATAAGCCGGTGCGATAACACCGTAATAAGCCGGTGTAATAACACTGTAATAAGCCGGTGCGATAACACTGTAATAAGCCGGTGCAATAACACTAATAAGCCGGTGCGATAACACTGTAATAAGCCGGTGTGATAACACTGTAATAAGCCGGTGTGATAACACTAATAAGCCGGTGCGATAACACCGTAATAAGCCGGTGCGATAACACTAATAAGCCGGTGCGATAACACCGTAATAAGCCGTTGCGATAACACCGTAATAAGCCGGTGCGATAACACCGTAATAAGCCGTTGCGATAACACCGTAATAAGCCGGTGCGATAACACCGTAATAAGCCGGTGCGATAACACCGTAATAAGCCGGTGCGATAACACCGTAATAAGCCGGTGCGATAACACCGTAATAAGCCGGTGCGATAACACCGTAATAAGCCGGTGCGATAACACCGTAATAAGCCGGTGCGATAACACCGTAATAAGCCGGTGTGATAACACTGTAATAAGCCGGTGTGATAACACTAATAAGCCGGTGCGATAACACCGTAATAAGCCGGTGCGATAACACCGTAATAAGCCGGTGCGATAACACCGTAATAAGCCGTTGCGATAACACCGTAATAAGCCGGTGCGATAACACCGTAATAAGCCGGTGCGATAACACTGTAATAAGCCGGTGCGATAACACTGTAATAAGCCGGTGCGATAACACTGTAATAAGCCGGTGCGATAACACTGTAATAAGCCGGTGCGATAACACTGTAATAAGCCGGTGCGATAACACTGTAATAAGCCGGTGCGATAACACTAATAAGCCGGTGCGATAACACTAATAAGCCGGTGCGATAACACTGTAATAAGCCGGTGTGATAACACTGTAATAAGCCGGTGTGATAACACCGTAATAAGCCGGTGCGATAACACCGTAATAAGCCGGTGCGATAACACTGTAATAAGCCGGTGCGATAACACTGTAATAAGCCGGTGCGATAACACTGTAATAAGCTGGTGTGATAACACTGTAATAAGCCGGTGTGATAACACCGTAATAAGCCGGTGCGATAACACCGTAATAAGCCGGTGCGATAACACCGTAATAAGCCGGTGCGATAACACCGTAATAAGCCGGTGCGATAACACCGTAATAAGCCGGTGCGATAACACCGTAATAAGCCGGTGTGATAACACCGTAATAAGCCGGTGCGATAACACTGTAATAAGCCGGTGCGATAACACTGTAATAAGCCGGTGCGATAACACTGTAATAAGCCGGTGCGATAACACTGTAATAAGCCGGTGCGATAACACTGTAATAAGCCGGTGCGATAACACTGTAATAAGCCGGTGCGATAACACTGTAATAAGCCGGTGCGATAACACTGTAATAAGCCGGTGCGATAACACTGTAATACGCCGGTGCGATAACACTGTAATAAGCCGGTGCGATAACACTGTTATAAGCCGGTGCGATAACACTGTTATAAGCCGGTGCGATAACACCGTTATAAGCCGGTGCGATAACACCGTAATAAGCCGGTGTAATAACACCGTAATAAGCCGGTGCGATAACACTGTAATAAGCCGGTGTAATAACACTGTAATAAGCCGGTGTAATAACACCGTAATAAGCCGGTGTAATAACACTGTAATAAGCCGGTGCAATAACACTGTAATAAGCCGGTGCGATAACACTGTAATAAGCCGGTGCGATAACACTGTAATAAGCCGGTGTAATAACACTGTAATAAGCCGGTGTAATAACACTGTAATAAGCCGGTGTAATAACATTTGAGGACACACCCAAAAGGGACGAGTCTGGTAAACACAGCACACACCAACATAGGTTCAGTGGGTTTCAGTGCCAGTAAAAATGTTTGTGTAATAACAACGATGGTGTGTATTAACAACGATGGTGTGTATTAACAACGATGGTGTGTATTAACAACGATGGTGTGTAATAACAACGATGGTGTGTATTAACAACGATGGTGTATTAACAACGATGGTGTGTATTAACAACGATGGTGTGTATTAACAACGATGGTGTGTATTAACAACGATGGTGTGTATTAACAACGATGGTGTGTATTAACAACGATGGTGTGTATTAACAACGATGGTGTGTATTAACAACGATGGTGTGTATTAACAACGATGGTATGTATTAACATTTGTGGGTACACCCTAATAGGAGAGTGTTGATTGGCTGAGAGGTCTAAGAGAATAGCCTAGTGACTGGTTGAGTTCCCACTTGGAAAAAAATTAAGAGTACAGATTAATAATACGGGACAATATACAAACGTTTGAGAAAGATCATTTAAAAAATACAATTTTATTGAGAACATTTATTTATTGGTTTCTTTTCATTTTGATCAATGTAAATGTAAATGAATTGAAGGTCATTTGTGGATGTAAAAATCTAAATGTACCGATTTTTAAGGTCGTCATATTTTTTTATGCCGGAAAAAAAAATGGAGTTCCCGCTGAAAAAGTTTGAATACCACGTTTCCATCCACATGAGTAAAGTCAGTTAATACAATGACGACAGCTGTGATGGAAACCGGAAGTTTCGGTACAATTTTATAAATGCCGACCGATAATTTGTTCGTTCAACATAGTGGGATCTTTATGTGTTGGTCGATAAAGTTAATTATGCGACTAATGGTGGTGGAAAGTATTGATATACACTGAACAAAAATATAAAAACGCAACATGTTGGGGTCAATAGAAGAGATCACATACATCCTCCCTCCCATGTACACTGAACAAAAAATATAAAATGCATCAGTGTTGGTCCCATGTTTCATGAGCTGAAATAAAAAAAGATCCCAGAAATGTTCCATGCACACAAAAAGCTTATTTCTCTCAAATGTTGTGCACAAATGTGTTTACATCCCTGTTAGTGAACATTTCTCTTTTGCCAAGATAATCCATCCACCTGACAGGTATGGCATATCAAGAAGCTGATTAAACAGCATGATCATTACACATGTGCACCTTGTGCTGGGGACAATAAAAGGTCACTCAAATTTTGCGGTTTTGTCACATAACACAATGCCACAGATGTCTCAAGTTGAGGCTGACTGCAGGAATGTCCACCAGAGAATTTAATTTATCTACCATAAGCCGCCTCCAACGTCATTTTACAGAATTTGACAGTATGTGTGGCTGAGTGGTTTGCTGATGTCAATGTTGTATACAGAGTGCCCCATGGTGGCGGTGGGGTTATGGTATGGGCAGGCATAAGCTACGGACAATGAACACAATTGCATTTTATCGATAGCAATTTGAATGCACAGAGATACCGTGACGAGATCCTGAGGCCCATTGTCGTGCCATTCATCCGCTGCCATCACATCATGTTTCAGCATGATAATGCACGGCCCCATGTCGCAAGGATCTGTACACAATTCCTGGAAGCTGGAAATGTCCCAGTTCTTCCAAGGCCTGCATACTCACCAGACAAAAATATATATATATATATATATATATATATATATATATAAAAAAAATATAACATTGTAAAGTGGTTATCCCACTGGCTATAAGGTGAATGCACCTATTTGTAAGTCGCTCTGGATAAGAGCGTCTGCTAAATGATGTAAATGTAAAGTCACCCATTGAGCATGTTTGGGATGCTCTGGATCAACGTGTACGACAGCGTGTTCCAGTTCCCACCAATATCCAGCAACTTCTCACAGCCATTGAAGAGGAGTGGGACAACCTTCCACAGGCCACAATCAACAGCCTGATCAACTCTAAGCGAAGGAGATGTGTTGCGCTGCATGAGGCAAATGGTGGTCACACCAGATACTGACTGGTTTTCTGATCCACACCCCTAGATGCATATCTGTATTCCCAGTCATGTGAAATCCATAGATTAGGGCCTAATGAATTCATTTCAATTGACTGACTTCCTTATTTGAAATGTAACTCAGCAAAATCGTTGAAATTGTTGCATGTTGCGTTTATATTTTTGTTCAGTATAATAACCATCATATCGAAGTAAACTTGTGAGTCACGCGACGATATGGTGTCCTGTCCTTCCAGTACGACTCGGGAAACCATGCAGTTTATTAGGCTACAGATGAAATAAGTTACGATGAACTTCACAGGGTGGTGAAAGTGCACGGTGATCTTGATGCTCCTTTTCCCAATAAATATTGAGGTTCTTATTCTGGTGACATGATGATCGATGCTCGACTGCCGTTTCACAAATACAAATATTCTCTCTCTTATCCATAATAATCTCATCGTGTAGACTAGCCTACCCGCCCTGTATCTGCCAGCTGTTGGCTAGAGAGCACGTGCCAAGACCAGAGAAGGCACATATGCTATTTAACGGTTTGTGACAAAACAAAAAAATCGGTAGAGTTTAAAATGCGATGGAAACACATTGAACTTTACATTTTTATTCAGTACATGAACACTTAAGCACTACGTCATCACTCAGATTTTATTTTTATTTTTATCTGCAACAAGTCCTTTTGGTAGAAACACCACTGGTGGGAAAATGCACATATTTTCATGCAGATTTGAGAATATTTTCGCATGAAAATCTGGTCGCCAATTGGATGGAAACCTAGCTAGCATGTTAGAAAAATGAAAAGAAACCAATAAATATATTTACTCAATAAAATTGTATTTTTCAAATTATCCTTCTCAAAAACGTTTGTATATTGTCCCATAAAATAATCTGTAATCTGAATTTTATAAAAACATAAAGAAATCAAGTACAAAAAGAAAAATAGAACTGCAGTTAGACGCCGACTGAATACCACTGGTCTAAAAAAAATAGCCTAGTGATTGGTTGAATTCCTTGTCAGACAGTTTACCTCGTATCATGATTGGTCCCTCCACCCTCGTGCCGTGCTGCACCACCTGTGTTCCTCCCCCAGTCTCCCCCTCTCCTCCCTCCGCAGAGCGACGGAACACCCCCTCACGCACGTCCTCGAACACGGAGAACATCTCGTGCACACGGGCCGTGTACCCCGCCAGCTCAGTCACCTGGACCGGGTCAAAGGTTATACAGTAAATCAGGGCCGGTGGAAAAGTTTATTAAAAACGTTTATTATACAATTAGATCATGATAGAGCAAGACTCCCAAATGACACGCTTCTGACCACTGTAACTATTCCCCAGGTCGTTGCTGTAAATGAGAATGTGTTCTCAGTCGACTTACCTGCTAAAATGAGTGTTAAATAAATAAACCCATAGGGCTCTGGTCTAAAGTAGTGCACTATAACCCATAGGGCTCTGGTCTAAAGTAGTGCACTATATCCCCATAGGGCTCTGGTCTAAAGTAGTGCACTATAACCCACAGGGCTCTGGTCTAAAGTAGTGCACTATAACCCATAGGGCTCTGGTCTAAAGTAGTGCACTATAACCCACAGGGCTCTGGTCTAAAGTAGTGCACTATAACCCCTAGGGCTCTGGTCTAAAGTAGTGCACTATAACCCATAGGGCTCTGGTCTAAAGTAGTGCACTATAACCCATAGGGCTCTGGTCTAAAGTAGTGCACTATAACCCATAGGGCTCTGGTCTAAAGTAGTGCACTATAACCCATAGGGCTCTGGTCTAAAGTAGTGCACTATAACCCATAGGGCTCTGGTCTAAAGTAGTGTACTATAACCCATAGGGCTCTGGTCTAAAGTAGTGCACTATAACCCATAGGGCTCTGGTCTAAAGTAGTGCACTATAACCCATAGGGCTCTGGTCTAAAGTAGTGCACTATAACCCATAGGGCTCTGGTCTAAAGTAGTGCACTATATCCCCATAGGGCTCTGGTCTAAAGTAGTGCACTATATCCCCATAGGGCTCTGGTCTAAAGTAGTGCACTATATCCCCATAGGGCTCTGGTCTAAAGTAGTGCACTATAACCCATAGGGCTCTGGTCTAAAGTAGTGCACTATAACCCACAGGGCTCTGGTCTAAAGTAGTGCACTATAACCCATAGGGCTCTGGTCTAAAGTAGTGCACTATAACCCATAGGGCTCTGGTCTAAAGTAGTGCACTATAACCCACAGGGCTCTGGTCTAAAGTAGTGCACTATAACCCACAGGGCTCTGGTCTAAAGTAGTGCACTATAACCCACAGGGCTCTGGTCTAAAGTAGTGCACTATAACCCATAGGGCTCTGGTCTAAAGTAGTGCACTATAACCCAGAGGGCTCTGGTCTAAAGTAGTGCACTATAACCCATAGGGCTCTGGTCTAAAGCAGTGCACTATAACCCATAGGGCTCTGGTCTAAAGCAGTGCACTATAACCCATAGGGCTCTGGTCTAAAGTAGTGCACTATAACCCACAGGGCTCTGGTCTAAAGTAGTGCACTATAACCCACAGGGCTCTGGTCTAAAGTAGTGCACTATAACCCATAGGGCTCTGGTCTAAAGTAGTGCACTATAACCCACAGGGCTCTGGTCTAAAGTAGTGCACTATAACCCATAGGGCTCTGGTCTAAAGTAGTGCACTATATCCCCATAGGGCTCTGGTCTAAAGTAGTGCACTATAACCCATAGGGCTCTGGTCTAAAGTAGTGCACTATAACCCACAGGGCTCTGGTCTAAAGTAGTGCACTATAACCCATAGGGCTCTGGTCTAAAGTAGTGCACTATATCCCCATAGGGCTCTGGTCTAAAGTAGTGCACTATAACCCATAGGGCTCTGGTCTAAAGTAGTGCACTATAACCCATAGGGCTCTGGTCTAAAGTAGTGCACTATATCCCCCTAGGGCTCTGGTCTAAAGTAGTGCACTATATCCCCCTAGGGCTCTGGTCTAAAGTAGTGCACTATAACCCCTAGGGCTCTGGTCTAAAGTAGTGCACTATAACCCCTAGGGCTCTGGTCTAAAGTAGTGCACTATAACCCATAGGGCTCTGGTCTAAAGTAGTGCACTATATCCCCCTAGGGCTCTGGTCTAAAGTAGTGCACTATATCCCCCTAGGGCTCTGGTCTAAAGTAGTGCACTATATCCCCCTAGGGCTCTGGTCTAAAGTAGTGCACTATAACCCCTAGGGCTCTGGTCTAAAGTAGTGCACTATAACCCATAGGGCTCTGGTCTAAAGTAGTGCACTATAACCCATAGGGCTCTGGTCTAAAGTAGTGCACTATATCCCCAGAGGTCTCTGGTCTAAAGTAGTGCACTATAACCCATAGGGCTCTGGTCTAAAGTAGTGCACTATAACCCATAGGGCTCCGGTCTATAGTAGTGCACTATAACCCATAGGGCTCCGGTCTAAAGTAGTGCACTATATATCCCCATGGGGCTCTGGTCTAAAGTAGTGCACTATATATCCCCATGGGGCTCTGGTCTAAAGTAGTGCACTATAACCCATAGGGCTCCGGTCTAAAGTAGTGCACTATAACCCATAGGGCTCTGGTCTAAAGTAGTGCACTATAACCCATAGGGCTCTGGTCTAAAGTAGTGCACTATAACCCATAGGGCTCTGGTCTAAAGTAGTGCACTATAACCCATAGGGCTCTGGTCTAAAGTAGTGCACTAGAAAAGGAATGGGGTCACATTTGGGACGCGATAAATAAATGAAAAGATGATAGCCTCACCTCCTTGTAGGGAATCATTAACCTCTTGACAGTGAGGGGTTAGGGTCTAGGGGTTAGGGAGTAGGGGTTAGGGTCTAGGGAGTAGGGAGTAGGGGTTAGGGGTTAGGGGTTACGGTCTAGGGGTTAGTGTCTAGGGGTTAGGGAGTAGGGGATAGGGAGTAGGGGATAGGGGTTAGGGTCTAGGGAGTAGGGGTTAGGGAGTAGGGGTTAGGGAGTAGGGGTTAGGGAGTAGGGGTTAGGGAGTAGGGGTTAGGGGTCGTTTCTATAGCCTCACCTCCTTGTAAGAGCTCATGATTCTCTCGACGGCGTCGGCGGCTGAGTTGAGGAGGTTCCTAGCCGTGGAAAAGGCCTGAGCCCTCTCACTCACTAGGTCCTCCTCTTTCAAATTCATGGCCAACTGCTTCACGTCCTCGGAGTCTGAAGGCATACATAGGATACATAAGCACTTCATAGCCCATACATAAGCACTTCATAGCCCATACATAAGCACTTCATAGCCCATACATAATAATAATAAGCCATTTAGCAGAAGCTTTTATCCCAAGCGACTTACAGTCATGCGCGCATACATTTTTACGTATGGGTGGTCCCGGGGATCGAACCCACTACCCTGGTGTTACAAGCGCCGTGCTCTACCAGATGAGCTACAGAGGACCACATAAGCACTTCATAGCCCATACATAAGCACTTCATAGCCCATACATAAGCACTTCATAGCCCATACATAACACATTTATAAGCCTGCTCCTTCTCCGTCTGGGACATGGTCAACAGCTTCACACCCTCAGTCTGATGGTCCTCTGGTCCTCTGGTCCTCTGGTCCTCTGGTCCCCTGGTCCTCTGGTCCCCTGGTCCTCTGGTCCTCTGGTCCTCTGTAGCTCAGCTGGTAGAGCACGGCGCTTGTAACGCCTGGGTAGTGGGTTCGATCCCCGGGACCACCCATACACAAGAAAAATGTATGCGCGCATGACTGTAAGTCGCTTTGGATAAAAGCGTCTGCTAAATGGCTTATTATTATTATTATTATATAAACATAGTGATGATCCCAGAGTCCAGAGAGGACATCAGAGCCTGTTGCAGATGTGGGGGGGTGCCCATAATTCCAACAGCTGTAGGTTTAATGCTGCAAATCTATCACTACTGTAAAACGGAGGGGACACATAGATAGAGTATGTTAGATTTATTTTTATTCTTTTTACATAGCTGGACATGAGACAAGCCTACCAGCAGCTACCTTTGGATGGTGACACAGGGGAAGCCCTGACTATCCACACACACACACACACACACAGGGGGCTTTTCAGGGTAACAAGGCTCCAGTTTGGAGTGTCCACAGCAGTGGCCATTTTTCAACGCTACACGGACACCTTGCTAGCAGGCATCACAGGGCAGGGGTCCAGACGTATCTGGATGGATGACATACTGATTACAGGCTGGACCCTTGAAGAGCATAACTCTCAGCTGGAGGAAAGGGCTGAGGCACTTTGTGGAAGCAGGGCTGCGACCCCAGAGCGAGAAGGGCATTTTCGCTGCACCCAGTGTTCAGTTCCTGGGGGTTCCATGTTGACGAGGATGGCGTGTGACCGGCCCAGGGTAAGGTAAAGGCCATTAAGGAGGCAGAACAAGTCTGAGCGCCGGCGGTTTCGTTTGCTTCTCAACATTTACAACCGCTTCCTGCCTGATAAAGCTAGTGTTGGAGCCTTTTGCTGTCAAGACGTTCCATCAGAATTTGTCAGGTCCATAACCGACCACAAGCCCTTGCTGGGCCTGCTTCGTCATATGAAGCCCATGCCCCAGATTCTTTCCCTCGATGGTCAGATGGATCCAGATATTGGGAGCCCATAGTGATGAGCGCCGCTATCGTCCAGGGAAGCAGCTGGCTAATGTGGATTCCCCGAGTCACCTGCCACCCGCTATCCCTTTGTCTGAACCTCCTCCTCCCTGGGAAGTGATGCTGTTGGAGGTTTTGGCTGATGCCCCTCCTCCCTGGGAAGTGATGCTGTTGGAGGTTTTGGCTGATGCCCCTCCTCCCTGGGAAGTGATGCTGTTGGAGGTTTTGGCTGATGCCCCTCCTCCCTGGGAAGTGATGCTGTTGGAGGTTTTGGCTGATGCCCCTCCTCCCTGGGAAGTGATGCTGTTGGAGGTTTTGGCTGATGCCCCTCCTCCCTGGGAAGTGATGCTGTTGGAGGTTTTGGCTGATGCCCCTCCTCCCTGGGAAGTGATGCTGTTGGAGGTTTTGGCTGATGCCCCTCCTCCCTGGGAAGTGATGCTGTTGGAGGTTTTGGCTGATGCCCCTCCTCCCTGGGAAGTGATGCTGTTGGAGGTTTTGGCTGATGCCCCTCCTCCCTGGGAAGTGATGCTGTTGGAGGTTTTGGCTGATGCCCCTCCTCCCTGGGAAGTGATGCTGTTGGAGGTTTTGGCTGATGCCCCTCCTCCCTGGGAAGTGATGCTGTTGGAGGTTTTGGCTGATGCCCCTCTCCATGCTTCTAGGAGAGCAGCACTGACCTGGAAGGATCCTGTCCTGTCCCGGGTGCGTCGCTGGGTGCTACATGGATGGGTCTCCGAGGTCCCTGCTCCACCCAAGGCCGCTTTGCACCCATCGGCGTGGACGGCAAAGAAATGGTCTCGTCTTCATAGACTTTGCTGGTCCGTTCGAAGGAAAGACTTCTCATGGTAGTGGAATCCCACTCAGCATCTGGAAGTAGCCACGTTAGCTCGACGAGTCCCACTCAGCATCTGGAAGTAGCCACGGTTTGCTCGACGAGTCCCACTCAGCATCTGGAAGTAGCCACGTTAGCTCGACGAGTCCCACTCAGCATCTGGAAGTAGCCACGTTAGCTCGACGAGTCCCACTCAGCATCTGGAAGTAGCCACGTTAGCGCGACGAGTCCCACTCAGCATCTGGAAGTAGCCACGTTAGCTCGACGAGTCCCACTCAGCATCTGGAAGTAGCCACGTTAGCGCGACGAGTCCCACTCAGCATCTGGAAGTAGCCACGTTAGCTCGACGGGTCCCACTCAGCATCTGGAAGTAGCCACGTTAGCTCGACGAGTCCCACTCAGCATCTGGAAGTAGCCACGTTAGCTCGACGAGTCCCACTCAGCATCTGGAAGTAGCCACGTTAGCGCGACGAGTCCCACTCAGCATCTGGAAGTAGCCACGTTAGCTCGACGAGTCCCACTCAGCATCTGGAAGTAGCCACGTTAGCTCGACGAGTCCCACTCAGCATCTGGAAGTAGCCACGTTAGCGCGACGAGTCCCACTCAGCATCTGGAAGTAGCCACGGTTTGCTCGACGAGTCCCACTCAGCATCTGGAAGTAGCCACGTTAGCTCGACGAGTCCCACTCAGCATCTGGAAGTAGCCACGTTAGCTCGACGAGTCCCACTCAGCATCTGGAAGTAGCCACGTTAGCGCGACGAGTCCCACTCAGCATCTGGAAGTAGCCACGTTAGCTAGACGAGTCCCTTTTAGCATCTGGAAGTAGCCACGTTAGCTCGACGAGTCCCACTCAGCATCTGGAAGTAGCCACGTTAGCTCGACGAGTCCCACTCAGCATCTGGAAGTAGCCACGTTAGCGCGACGATTCCCCAATCAGGGCACGTTAAGGAGCGCGCACAGACACTCCCATATATAGCTTGTGCGTCTCATAGGTGTGTGAGTTCAGTCAACAGGCGACATGTTTACTGCCTGCACCATGGAGCAAATAGCCTAAACCTACCTTTCTGATTGTACTTTCACCAGGTCACGGACACAACCCATTCCTAACCCACACACAACCCATTCCTAACCCACACACACACACACAACCCATTCCTAACCCACACACACACACACAACCCATTCCTAACCCACACACACACAACCCATTCCTAACCCACACACACACACACACAACCCATTCCTAACCCACACACACACAACCCATTCCTAACCCACACACACACAACCCATTCCTAACCCACACACACACACAACCCATTCCTAACCCACACACACACACAACCCATTCCTAACCCACACAACCCATTCCTAACCCCACACACCACACACAACCCCCCAGTTCCGAACCCACACAACCCAGTCCTAACCCACACACACACAACCCATTCCTAACCCACACACAACCCATTCCTTACCCACACACAACCCATTCCTAACCCCCACACACACACAACCCATTCCTAACCCCCACACACACACACACACAACCCATTCCTAACACACACACAACCCATTCCTAACCCACACACAACCCATTCCTAACCCACACCTAACCCATTCCTAACCCACACACAACCCATTCCTAACCCACACACACACCCATTCCTAACCCACACAAACCCATTCCTAACCCATACACACACCACCCCATTCCTAACCCACACACAACCCATTCCTAACCCACACACAACCCACGCCCCCAGCCTCTACCCGCCTCACGCCCCCAGCCTCTACCCACCTCACGCCCCCCAGCCTCTACCCACCTCACGCCCCCCAGCCTCTACCCACCTCACGCCCCCCAGCCTCTACCCACCTCACGCCCCCAGCCTCTACCCCACCCCTCCTCACGCCCCCAGCCTCTACCCACCTCCTCACGCCCCCAGCCTCTACCCACCTCCTCACGCCCCCAGCCTCTACCCACCTCACGCCCCCAGCCTCTACCACCCGCCCCAGCCTCTACCCGCCTCAGCCTCACGCCCCCAGCCTCTACCCGCCTCACGCCCCAGCCTCTACCCGCCTCACGCCCCCAGCCTCTACCACCCGCCTCACCACCCCCAGCCTCTACCCGCCTCACGCCCCCAGCCTCTCACCCGCCCCCCAGCCTCTACCCACCTCACGCCCCCAGCCTCTACCCCCCTCACCACCCCCAGCCTCTACCCCCTCACGCCCCCAGCCTCTACCACCCCGCCCCCAGCCTCTACCCACCTCACGCCCCCAGCCTCTACACCCGCCTCACCCCCCAGCCTCTACCCGCCTCACGCCCCCAGCCTCTACCCGCCTCACGCCCCCAGCCTCTACCCCTCAACGCCCCCAGCCTCTACCCACCTCTCACGCCCCAGCCTCTACCCACCACCTCCTCACGCCCCTCCCCCAGCCCTCTACCTACCCACTCTTCCTCACGCCCCCAGCCTCTACCCCTCCCTCACGCCCCATCCTCTACCACCTCCTCACGCACGCCCCAGCCTCTATACCCACCCGCCTCAACGCCCCCAAGCTCTACAGCCTCTACCCACCTCCCGCCCCCCAGCCTCTACCCACCTCACGCCCCCAAGCCTCTACCACCTCACGCCCCCCAGCCTCTAACCACCCACCTCAACGCCCCCCAGCCTCTACCCATCAGACAGGAAGTACATACTGAGGATCCCACTTCTGACACCAGTGTAATGAAATGAAGGAGAAGACTGAGGTGACTAGTGGTCTGCGAACCCTGAACGTAGGAGTGGAGGCTGGCAGGCCGAGAAACCGGAGGACCAGTTGATTGTGACGGCAAGGTGTCAAACAAATTGGAAACCATGCGTTTTATACAGTTCCCTTAATTCCATTCAAGCCATTACAATGAGCCCATCCTCCCAAGTCCTCCACTGGACCACAGACCCATAGGGCACGGGCAGGCAACTAGATCCAGCCGCCGGACGATTTTTGTAGGAGTGGATGGTCAGGGAGTCAGAACATAGGATCACTCAAATACAATGTTATAAAACCACTAGTGGAACAGCCTCATTACCATATTTGGAGAACCCTGTGGCGGGTCTTACCATATTTGGAGAACCCTGTGGCGGGTCTTACCGTATTTGGAGAACCCTGTGGCGGGTCTTACCGTATTTGGAAAACCCTGTGGCGGGTCTTACCGTATTTGGAAAACCCTGTGGCGGGTCTTACCGTATTTGGAAAACCCTGTGGCGGGTCTTACCGTATTTGGAAAACCCTGTGGCGGGTCTTATCGTATTTGGAGAACCCTGTGGCGGGTCTTACCGTATTTGGAGAACCCTGTGGCGGGTCTTACCATATTTGGAGAACCCCTGTGGCGGGTCTTACCATATTTGGAGAACCCTGTGGCGGGTCTTACCATATTTGGAGAACCCTGTGGCGGGTCTTACCATATTTGGAGAACCCTGTGGCGGGTCTTACCGTATTTGGAGAACCCTGTGGCGGGTCTTACCGTATTTGGAGAACCCTGTGGCGGGTCTTACCATATTTGGAGAACCCTGTGGCGGGTCTTACCATATTTGGAGAACCCTGTGGCGGGTCTTACCATATTTGGAGAACCCTGTGGCGGGTCTTACCATATTTGGAGAACCCTGTGGCGGGTCTTACCATATTTGGAGAACCCTGTGGCGGGTCTTACCATATTTGGAGAACCCTGTGGCGGGTCTTACCATATTTGGAGAACCCTGTGGCGGGTCTTACCATATTTGGAGAACCCTGTGGCGGGTCTTACCGTATTTGGAGAACCCTGTGGCGGGTCTTACCGTATTTGGAGAACCCCGTGGCGGGTCTTACCGTATTTGGAGAACCCTGTGGCGGTGATGATAGGTACAGCCACCATGACGAGTCCCGAGGCGCTCCACAGGTATTTCATCAGGAACTGCTCTAGCATCACGTACCATAGACGCTTAAACAGGATCAGGTTGATCTGGGACGACAGGGAGCGGTAGGAGCGCTGCAGCTGGGACATTTCCACCTAGTGGCGGGAGGACAACATCACATCAACATATATAATATTATATAAATAATAAGGCCTAGATAATAACATATTGTAATTTAGCAGACACTTCCATCCAAAGCCACGTACAGCTCAGTGAGTGCATCATCTTTTTTAGTATGGGTATCGGATCCCTGAGGGAATTGAACCCACAACCTTAGCTTTGCAAGCGCCACTCTCTCACCAACAGGTAGCTAGCGGTAAGAGCATTGCGCAACAAACCAAAAGGTCGCTGGTTCGAATCCCCGAGCCGACAAGGTTAACAAATCTGTGGATGTGCCCTTGAGCAAGGCACTTACCCCTAATTGCTCCTGTAAGTCGCTCTGGATAAGTTAAATTACTACAATGTAATGTGTCACACAGGACCAATTAATGGGGTCGATGCATGGCTTGGGTAAGAGTCAGGATTGCAAACCAACATAGCTCTGCACTAAAGAGTGTTGAAACACAGGGGTTTAAAAACAGCAGCATTTCACTGGTTTGATCCCCAGGTTCAGGTCGCAGGCTGACACCACAAACCCTTAGTGTGCGTCCCAAATGGCTCCTATTTAGTGCACTACTTTTGAGGGCCCATAGGGCTCTGGTCTAAAGTAGTGCACTATGTAGGGAATAGGGTGTCATTTGGGACGAAGGCTTAGTCTCTGGACACAGACAGGCAAGCACACAGCACACACAGGAGATTAGGTTCACTCTAGTAGTTTTCCATGAACTTTGTTTCTACTGGGTCACATGACAAGAGTGTCTGCTAGCTGACTTCTGGTCTGACCGCCTGACTGTGGCTGCTAGCTGACTTCTGGTCTGACCGCCTGACTGTGGCTGCTGGTTGACTTCTGGTCTGACCGCCGGACTGACCTCGGGTTTGACCACCTGACTTCTGGTCTGACCACCTGACTGCGGCTGACTTCTGGTCTGACCGGCTGTCTTCTGGTCTGACCACCTGACTTCTGGTCTGACCACCTGACTTCTGGTCTGACCACCTGACTTCTGGTCTGACCACCTGACTTCTGGTCTGACCACCTGACTTCTGGTCTGACCGGCTGACTGCGGCTGACTTCTGGTCTGACCACCTGACTGCGGCTGACTTCTGGTCTGACCACCTGACTGCGGCTGACTTCTGGTCTGACCGGCTGACTGCGGCTGACTTCTGGTCTGACCGGCTGACTGCGGCTGACTTCTGGTCTGACCACCTGACTGCGGCTGACTTCTGGTCTGACCACCTGACTGCGGCTGACTTCTGGGTCTTACCACCTGACTGCCTGTGGCTGACTTCTGGTCTGACCACCTGCGGCTGACTTCTGGTCTGACCACCTGACTGCTGCTGTAACGAGGGTTCTCTTTGCCACACAGGCGAGAACATTACAAAATCATATCATGAAACAGTGTTTTTACTCAATGCAATGTCTGGAATGCCTGACAGACAAAGAGTCCTTTCATTATTTCTTCAAGCGGTACACTATGCCTGCAGAATCCCAGAGCCACTATGAGAGGCAGAGACATCAGTCTTATCATTTATTTGAACCGCCATAATATCTCTGAACTTTGAGCAGGGTCATTCTGACAGTGAGACTGGTCAACGGTCATGTTTACCTTGTGTCCTCCGTAGAAGGCAGCATATTTACTACGTGTATATTCCACGCTGTCACAGTCACTAGCCCATTCAAGCTTAACATCCTTATCATTTATCGCCCTCCACGTTCCCTTGGAGAGTTCATCAATGAGCTTGACACCTTGATAAGTTCCTTTCCTGAGGATGGCTCACCCCTCACAGTTCTGGGTGACTTTAACCTCCCTACATCTACCTTTGACTCATTTCTCTCTGCCTCCTTCTTTCCTCTCCTCTCCTCTTTTGACCTCACCCGCTCACCGTCTCCACCTACTCACAAGGCAGGCAATACGCTTGACCTCATCTTTACTAGATGCTGTTCTTCTACTAATCTCACTGCAACTCCCCTCCAAGTCTATGTCCCCTATCCTCCCGGCCGGCTCGGTCCTCCACTCCTGCTCCGTGGCTTGACGACTCATTGCGAGCTCACAGAACAGGCCTCCGGGCAGCCGAGCGGAAATGGAGGAAAACTAGACTCCCTGCGGACCTGGCATCTTTTCACTCCCTCCTCTCTACATTTTCTTCCTCCGTTTCTGCTGCTAAAGCCACTTTCTACCACTCTAAATTCCAAGCATCTGCCTCTAATCCAAGGAAGCTCTTTGCCGCCACCTCCTCCCTGCTGAATCCTCCCTCTCTGTGGATGACTTCATCAACCATTTTGAAAAGAAGGTTGACGACATCCGATCCTCGTTTGTTAAGTCAAATGACACTGCTGGTCCTGCTCACACTGCCCTACCCTATGCTTTGACTTCTTTCTCCCCTCGCTCTCCAGATGAAATCTTGCGACTTGTGACAGCCGGCCGCCCAACAACCTGCCCGCTTGACCCTATCCCCTACTCTCTTCTCCAGACCATTTCCGGAGACCTTCTCCCTTACCTCACCTCGCTCATCAACAAATCCTTGACCACTATGTCCCTTCCATCTTCAAGAGAGCGAGAGTTGCACCCCTTTTCAAAAAACCTACACTTGATCCCTCCGATGTCAACAACTACAGACCAGTATCCCTTCTTTCTTTTCTCTCCAAAACTCTTGAGCGTGCCGTCTTTAGCCAACTCTCTTGCTATCTCTCTCAGAATGACCTTGATCCAAACCAGTCAGGTTTGAAGACTAGTCATTCAACTGAGACTGCTCTTCTCTGTGTCACGGAGGCTCTCCGCACTGCTAAAGCTAACTCTCTCTCCTCTGCTCTTATCCTTCTAAACCTATCTGCTGCCTTTGATACTGTGAACCATCAGATCATCCTCTCCACCCTCTCCGAGTTGGGCATCTCCGGCGCGGCTCACACAGCCCGTCTGGTGTTTAACCTTCCAAAGTTCTCTCACGTCACCCCGCTCCTCCGCACACTCCACTGGCTTCCAGTTGAAGGCCGCATCTGCTACAAGACCATGGTGCTTGCCTACGGAGCTGTGAGGGGAACGGCACCTCCGTAACTTCAGGCTCTGATCAGTCCCTACACCCAAACGAGGGCATTGCGTTCATCCACCTCTGGCCTGCTGGCCCCCCTACCTCTGCGGAAGCACAGTTCCCGCTCAGCCCAGTCAAAACTGTTCGCTGCTCTGGCACCCCAATGGTGGAACAAGCTCCCTCACGACGCCAGGACAGCGGAGTCACTCACCACCTTCCGGAGACATTTGAAACCCCACCTCTTTAAGGAATACCTGGGATAGGATCAAAGTAATCCTTCTACCCTCCCCCTACCCCCCCCAAAAAAAATATAACAATAATAGATAATACTAAGGAAGTCTCAAGGTTTTGCTCGCGTGAGGTAGAGTATCTTATGATAAGCTGTAGACCACAGCTGTAGACCACACTATTTACCAAGAGAGTTTTCATCTATATTTTCATAGCTGTCTATTTACCACCACAAACCAATGCTGGCATTAAGATTGCACTGAATGAGCTGTATAAGGCCATAAATCAACAGGAAAACGCTCATCCAGAGGCAGCGCTCCTAGTGGCCGGGGACTTTAATGCAGGGAAACTTAAATCCGTTCTACCTAATTTCTACCAGCATGTTAAATGTGCAACCAGAGGAAAAAAAAAAACTCTAGACCACCTTTACTCCACACACAGAGACGCATACAAAGCTCTCCCTCGCCCTCCATTTGGCAAATCTGACCATAACTCTATCCTCCTGATTCCTGCTTATAAGCAAAAACTAAAGCAGGAAGCACCAGTGACTCGATTAATAAAAAAGTCAGATGACGCAGATGCTAAGCTACAGGACTGTTTTGCTAGCACAGACTGGAACATGTTCCGGGATTCTTCAGACAGCATTGAGGAGTACACCACATCAGTCACTGGCTTCATCAATAAGTGCATCGATGATGTCGTCCCCACAGTGACCGTACGTACATACCCCAACCAGAAGCCATGGATTACAGGAAACATCCGCACTGAGCTAAAGGGTAGAGCTGCCGCTTTCAAGGAGCGGGACTCTAACCCGGACGCTTATAAGAAATCCCGCTATGCCCTCCGACGAACCATCAAACAGGCAAAGAGTCAATACAGGACTAAGATTGAATCGTACTACACTGGCTCTGATGCTCGTCGGATGTGGCAGGGCTTGAAAACTATTACAGACTACAAAGGGAAGCACAGCCGCGAGCTGCCCAGTGACACAAGACTTCCAGACGAGCTAAACCACTTCTATGCTCGCTTCGAGGCAAGCAACACTGAAGCATGCATGAGAGCACCAGCTGTTCCGGATGACTATGTGATCACGCTCTCCGTAGCCGATGTGAGTAAGACTTTTAAGCAGGTCAACATTCACAAGGCCGCAGGGCCAGACGGATTACCAGGACGTGTACTCCGAGCATGTGCTGACCAACTGGCAAGTGTCTTCACTGACATTTTCAACATGTCCCTGACTGAGTCTGTAATACCAACATGTTTCAAGCAGACCACCATAGTCCCCGTGCCCAAGGACTCTAAGATAACCTGCCTAAATGACTACTGACCCGTAGCACTGACGTCTGTAGCCATGAAGTGCTTCGAAAGGCTGGTCATGGCTCACATCAACAGCATTATCCCAGAAACCCTAGACCCACTCCAATTTGCATACCGCCCCAACAGATCCACAGATGATGCAATCTCTATTGCACTCCACACTGCCCTTTCCCACCTGGACAAGAGGAACACCTACGTGAGAATGCTATTCATTGACTACAGCTCAGCATTCAACACCATAGTGCCCTCAAAGCTCATCACTAAGCTAAGGATCCTGGGACTAAACACCTCCCTCTGCAACTGGATCCTGGACTTCCTGACAGGCCGCCCCCAAGTGGTAAGGGTAGGTAACAACACATCTGCCACACTGATCCTCAACACGGGGGCCCCTCAGGGGTGCGTGCTCAGTCCCCTCCTGTACTCCCTGTTCACCCATGACTGCATGGCCAGGCACGACTCCAACACCATCATTAAGTTTGCCGACGACACAACAGTGGTAGGCCTGATCACCGACAACGATGAGACAGCCTATAGGGAGGAGGTCAGAGACCTGGCCGTGTGGTGCCAGGACAACAACCTCTCCCTCAACGTGACCAAGACAAAGGAGATGATTGTGGACTACAGGAAAAAAAAGAGGACTGAGCACGCCCCCATTCTCATCGACGGGGCTGTAGTGGAACAGGTTGAGAGCTTCAAGTTCCTTGGTGTCCACATCACCAACGAACTATCATGGTCCAAACACACCAAGACAGTCGTGAAGAGGTCACGACAAAGCCTATTACCCCTCAGGAGACGGAAAAGATTTGGCATGGGTCCTCAGATCCTCAAAAAATTATACAGCTGCACCATCGAGAGCATCCTGACTGGTTGCATCACCGCCTGGTATGGCAGCTGCTCGGCCTCCGACCGCAAGGCACTACAGAGGGTAGTGCGTACGGCCCAGTACATCATTGGGGCCAAGCTTCCTGCCATCCAGGACCTCTATACCAGGCGGTGTCAGAGGAAAGCCCTCAAAATTGTCAAAGACTCCAGCCACCCTAGTCATAGACTGTTCTCCCTGCTACCGCACGGCAAGCGGTACCGGAGTGCCAAGTCTAGGTCCAAAAGACTTCTCAACAGCTTCTACCCCCAAGCCATAAGACTCCTGAACAGCTAATCATGGCTACCCGGACTATTTGCACTGCCCCCCCCCCCCCCCACCCCATCCTTTTACGCTGCTGCTACTCTGTTAATTATTTATGCATAGTCACTTTAACTCTGCCCACATGTACATATTACTTCAACTACCTCAACTAGCCGGTGCCCCCGCACATTGACTCTGCACCGGTACCCCCCTGTATATATAGCCTCCCTACTGTTATTTTATTTTACTTCTGCTCTTTTTTTCTCAACACTTTTTTTGTTGTCGTTTTATTTTTACTTTTTTGTTAAAAATAAATGCACTGTTGGTTAAGGGCTGTAAGTAAGCATTTCACTGTTGTATTCGGCGCATGTGGCCAATAAAATTTGATTTGATTATATTGTAAAGTGGTTGTCCCACTGGCTATCATAAGGTGAATGCACCAATTTGTAAGTCGCTCTGGATAAGAGCGTCTGCTAAATGACTCACTAACTGTAAGTGGCTCTGGATAAGAGCGTCTGCTAAATGACTCACTAACTGTAAGTGGCTCTGGATAAGAGCGTCTGCTAAATGACTCACTAACTGTAAGTGGCTCTGGATAAGAGCGTCTGCTAAATGACTCACTAACTGTAAGTGGCTCTGGATAAGAGCGTCTGCTAAATGACTCACTAACTGTAAGTGGCTCTGGATAAGAGCGTCTGCTAAATGACTCACTAACTGTAAGTGGCTCTGGATAAGAGCGTCTGCTAAATGACTCACTAACTGTAAGTGGCTCTGGATAAGAGCGTCTGCTAAATGACTCACTAACTGTAAGTGGCTCTGGATAAGAGCGTCTGCTAAATGACTCACTAACTGTAAGTGGCTCTGGATAAGAGCGTCTGCTAAATGACTCACTAACTGTAAGTGGCTCTGGATAAGAGCGTCTGCTAAATGACTCACTAACTGTAAGTGGCTCTGGATAAGAGCGTCTGCTAAATGACGTAAATGTAAAATGTATATATCTGACAGTTACCTTGTGTCCTCCGTAGAAGGCGATCTCCTCAGAGTTGGCGATAATGCGTGAGTGCATGTACCTCAGGTCTCCTTTCCTCCTGGCTTCTTCTGCCACTAGCTTACCGAACCGTGGCGAGAACATCCTCAGAACCTTAGTGATAATAAAATACATTTTCTTCGCAACACACTTTTCAAAAACCCAACCAAAGTGCTCCAAACAGACAACATAACACAAGGTTGGTATTCACAGTACTACTGAACTGCTATGTTTTTTTTTGTTGTTTTTTTTTAAATCAACAAATGATGAAAAATCCCCAAAAAAATTTTTTTAAAGGTATCAAGGCTGAATAAAGTTAAATAAATAAACCTTGGCGGTGATTGCCACAACCACGCCGGCGATGACGGAGGGCCAGGTGGTGTTGGCTCCTTTAGACTCTGCGGTCCTGAGGAGGGTATAACAGGTGACCACCACGTCCAGACAAGGCTTGGTCAGGTTGGAGTACAGGTGGGCCACAGAGCCAGCAAACATCACGATGTCCTCCGTCAGAGACTGGGGGAGAAAAACAAACAGCTTGGTGTCAGGTTGGAGTACAGGTGGGCCACAGAGCCAGCAAACATCACCAAGTCCTCCGTCAGACACTGGGAGAGAAGAATATGACATTGTTCATTATCTTGCAGAGAACAGAACATTTTGTATTTTTGTTTAGAACTCAACCCCTTGAGATAGAGGGACGGACCGAGACGCGCAGAAACACGCAGGGCCGGCTACAGCCACATGCGGTCGCTTAGGAACTCAGTCGGGGTGTCGACTTACTGTTGAATAGTAGAATACACAAGGTGCAAGTTCGATATCTGGTTGTGCTTCAGCAATTCTTTTTCTGTTATGTCAGTCACTCCATTAGCCATGTCAGCTACCAATTCTCAGATAGTCTAGCCAGCTATCTAACACCATATAATCTTTAAAACTATGCTGTGATGTTTAACATACAATTTTAAATCTAATCTAAACTTGTAGTAATCACGGCCGAATACCGACTGGACACGTGCCCAGAGCTTTCGTTTTGCCGGTAATAGCAGTTTTTATTTTATTTAGAAAAGCAGATAAATAAAAAAATTGGTGCCGGCCAATTGTCCAGGAGAAGAAGAAAATGTCCCATTGCCTTTTATCCTCTTCATTGAGTTAAATACCAGTGGATGGAAATACATCAAAAACTGGTCATGCTTATCAGTCTATAGGTTAATTTACATAATTTAGTGGAATTCAAATTGGCGCTTGTGTACAGTATATTCCTTATGCATTTTATTTATCACAGGCCTGCAGCATACAGATTCAGAGCGTTTGAGTGGATAATCTGTCAGAGAGCACAAGAGCTGCTGTTGCATCATCTTGTGGTGCTTTCAAGACAACTGGGAACTCTGAAGAAATACAAGTGATCTTCAGTTCAGAAAGACGGAGCTCTTTTCCCAGTTGGAGCTCCTTTTTTTCCCCCAGCAGGTCCCAGTTGTCTTGAATTCTGAAAAATACCGGGTCAAATCATGACGTCAGTGATCTTCAGGTCACAAAGTCTAAGCCTGAGTTGGAATTCCGAGTTGGATGACCGTTTAAAAACAAAACAAATCCCAGTCAGAGGTTTTTTCCACCCAGGATGTCTTGAACGCACTGAAGTCCGAGAGTTCCGAGTTGTTTTGAACGTGGCATCAAACGACAACGGAAGGCGGCCTTAAATCAGCATTGCACCACTTTGTAATGAGCTGGAGGCAGTATGCATTTTTGAAAACACACTTGTTTGAAACCTGAACGTTTTAATACATATGAAGCATGTCTTACCTTGCTTCGAAGTAGCGTATCTGATCGCCTCTTTCTAAATTTCGAATGGATATTTTAATCTGTCACATTAAACCATTCTCACGTGCAGTGCCCTTTGACAACGGTGTTTTCCTGGTAATTGCATTATGGAACATACATTTACGAGTAACCTACTGCCTTTTGCGCTTATAATGTGAATAAATACTCGTTTATCAACTTTTTAAGTTAAACGTTCTTATCTTTTGAATACGTTTTATTTGTTATGTAGCCGAGGCATACTGGTTGTATGAATTTGGGATCTCTCCTCCCACAACTGTCCCAGAGTCTGTTTGGAACAGGCGATTTCTTTCTCGACAAACTGACCAAAAGAATAGACGTTTTTACTATAGTAGATTGACAATAGGCTAGTGATTTTGCTGTTTGGTTGTGCGTCAACATTTTTTCTTGCTATGTCAGTCGCTAGCTAGGTTTCCATCCAATTGGCGTCAGATTTTCATGTGAATATTCTAAAATCTGTATAAAAACAATATGCGCATTTTCCCACCAGAGCGGTTTCCATCAAATTGACTTTGATTCGCACATATCAAAAATACCAGTTAAATGGGTTTCCATTATTTTCCACTCCACTTGACGGTTGTTGCGTTATTTAGCAAGTGTGGTATTGGCACCTGCGCTCTAGCCAACAGCTTGCAGATACAGTGCAGTGATTACCTACATGAGATTATGGACATTTTTTTATTTTTTTTATGGTCAAATGGCAGCCAAGCATCAATGGTCACCAGAATAAGACCCTCGATTTTTATTGGAAAGGAGCGTCAAGCTTTTCACTTTCACCACCCTGTGAAAGTTAATAATTTATTTCATCTGTAGTCTAATAAAACTGCATGCTTTCCCGAGTAGTAGCGGGAGGTCAAGTTGACTTCGATATGATGGTTATTATATAAATATTTCCACCGACATTCCTCACATAAATCATTTTACCGACACAAAAAAAGATCCCACCTTGTCTAGCGTGTTTTGTTTTGTCGACATTTTGGAAAGACTTGAATCAGAGGTTTGTTGAGGCGTGAGGGTCAGCATATAAATACCCAGACTCGCGCGTCAAAGTGCTGAGGGTTGATGTGAGGAGAGATATTTTTTGTTGCGATTGCAAAGACTTGGGTGCTACGTTTTCGATTGACAGTGCATATATTTGTTTGTTAGTTAGCTAGCTAGCTAGCTAGCTATACAAACAAGTTAAAACTGCACACCTCTGAGAACAAGCCATATCGACCAGTTTACAGCCATTTATGCTAGTTAGCTAGCTAAATTAAGGGCGAGGGGGTGTGAGAGAAACAATGTGCATGAGCTCTGCCATCCACACAGACGCGAATGCAATTAGTGCCTGGGAACATTTTCACGCTGTGAAAAATGGTACAACATGACGTCACAACACATTCAGAACAACCCAATCTTACTTAGGACCCCCCCAAAAAGGCTAGAGCCAGCCCCTGCACACACCTGGTCTGGGTTGGCGAGGCGTCCGTCCATGTTGCTGACACGGTAGTATGTCTGGTCGCTGAAGTAGAGCTTGTAGGCGTGGGTTACCAAGCGGGTGCGGAAGGCCAACGCCAGCTGTCCCTCTAGGTAACGGATCATGCTGTTCACAAAGGTGGCCGGAACTGCAATCAACAGCCATTTTGTCAGCTCCCACACAAATGCCTGGGGGTCCTTCTTCACAATGGTCTTCACTGTAGGAGAACAGAAAATGTATTAGTCACCCCAATCTGCAAAAAATGGATATTCTACTTTTGCTCTGCTCCCAACAGCCCCAGACAAACACACAGGTTACGTGCCTTGCTCAAGAGCACAACAGCAGGAGTACGGTACCTGGAATCTGAAAGCAGCCACCTGCCGGTTGTCAGTTCATCTACCCCGGCCTGGTGATTCGAAACGGCAACATTCAAAGTCTTTCCTACCTACCTATCATGCCGTCCAGGCTGGCCACGTAGATGGACAGGAAGGTTCTGGAGATGAGAGCCAGGGAGTGGAACCCCAGCAGACCCAACTCCTTACAGAACAGCTGGGGGAACAGGATACGAAGCAGGTGGCTTAGCCTCTTCAGAAACTCCTGGTTCACAGCCGGAGACTTACTACTCTTCTTCTTCCCTTGTTTTTCTCTCTCGGACCCTTCCGGTAGCACCCAGTTAGAGTTTAAGGGGACTGTGAGCGGTGTACCGGACCCAACTTTCTTCCTGAGTTTAGCCCACAAATAGGGGTAGAGTTTCTTGACTCCGTAGGCAGCGACGAGAAGGATAACGGCTTTCCTGACATGGGAGGTTTTCTTGAGCTGCTCTGGAATCTTTTCATACATGACCAACATTTTGATACCTGGTTAGCTAAGCTGTTTTAGTGCAGAATGCACATTCAGAATGAGGCCAAATATAGCGGAGTTCTCCAACTGAAACACCTGTTAACGTTACAGTCCCTCGATTACCTCTTTATATAGTTAGCAACTTTTTTATAACAACTTAAGGTGCTTCTCGCTGCCTATTCAATGATAGTTACCTATTTTACATTAACGTTGCATGTATAACAAAATGCAATAAACACTAACTTAGCCAGCTAAAGCAACCATGAACCAACCTCTTTCAAGCGAAACAGAAATGTCGATAGACAATCAATTGCATACGCAGTGTTACTGCTAGCTAACTTTAGCACTTCGGCTAACAACCAGGCACGTAGCAAGCTGTGATTGAGATGAACCTGCTCTCTCCTACATAGCTGGTACAGTGACAACTAGCTAGATGTACTATCCGTATATTTATACGAGCGGTATCTACAGACGAACAATACCCACTGACATGACAAGAAAAACACCTGCTAAGCTACTTAACTAGCATGCTAACTATAGCTTAAACTTTCTGCCTGCCCCCAAAACTTCCATTTCACTGGCTGGCTAGCCGTCCAGCAAGCTCGCAGTAGTAGCTAGCTAGGAAGGTGACCCTCTGAAAATTAACCCCCCGACTTCGACAGTCATAATGCTCTGGTAATCTTTGACAACGTCTTCCGTCAGAGGAAAAAGTATTTATCAACATGGATTCTTCTTCTTCTATGGTCTTCTTCTTCAGTGGGGTTTATCGGCGGTTGGCATCCAACGTTATGGTGCATTACCGCCACCTACTGTACTGGAGTGTGGGCCAGAGACAGGGAGAAACTAAATCCTACCTGCCAGCCCCGTTGCTCTTAAAAAAAGATAACAAAATATTTGAGACTATATCTAATGACGTTCTACTCAATATACTCTTTAAACTAATTTCCTGTATCCCCTTCTCCCTCATACTAGATCTCATCCTCTCTCTTTCCCTCTGATACTGCCCACACTTTAGCAATGCATGCTCCACGGTCTCTGTTTCCTGGCAATAATCACACTTTCCTGTTGGATGCTTTCCTATCACATTTAAGGTCTTATTCAATTGGCTGTGTCCCACCCTTAATCTTGTAAAAATAACCTCCTCTCTTCTGTCCCTTCCTGCTGTCCTCCCTGACTTTCCCCGGCAGGTAGCTTAGTGGGTAAGAGCGTTGTACCAGTAACCGAAAGGTCGCTGGTTCTAATCCCAGAGCCGACTAGGTGAAAAATCTGTAGATGTGCCCTTAAGCAAGGCACTTAACCCTAATTGCTTCTGTAAGTCGCTCTGGATAAGAGCGTCTGCTAAATGACTAAAATGTCTAAATAAATGCCTTCCCTTATTATCTCTATTCCAATGCTCCTACCATCTCTGCATATACCAGTCTTTTTGCGTCTGCCTTGCTCATTGAAACTACAACATCAACGTCCCCACTACTAAGTGCTTGTTTAGCCAGTACATCAACTGCCTCGTTCCCCTCCACCCCCACATGGGCTGGGACCCAAGTAAATCTTATCTGAATACCCATCTGTTTAATCCTGCCATGGGTTTGTAGCACATCATACAGCAGGTATTGTCTGCTACGTGAGCTAAAGGACTGGAGACTCATCAACACTGCACATGAATCAGAACAAATAATTACTCTGTCTGGCTTGACTTCCTCCACCCACTGCAAGGCCAACAGTATGGCCATCAGCTCCACCCACTGCAAGGCCAACAGTATGGCCATCAGCTCCACCCACTGCAAGGCCAACAGTATGGCCATCAGCTCCACCCACTGCAAGGCCAACAGTATGGCCATCAGCTCCACCCACTGCAAGGCCAACAGTATGGCCACCAGCTCCACCCACTGCAAGGCCAACAGTATGGCCACCAGCTCCACCCACTGCAAGGCCAACAGTATGGCCATCAGCTCCACCCACTGCAAGGCCAACAGTATGGCCATCAGCTCCACCCACTGCAAGGCCAACAGTATGGCCATCAGCTCCACCCACTGCAAGGCCAACAGTATGGCCATCAGCTCCACCCACTGCAAGGCCAACAGTATGGCCATCAGCTCCACCCACTGCAAGGCCAACAGTATGGCCATCAGCTCCACCCACTGCAAGGCCAACAGTATGGCCACCAGCTCCACCCACTGCAAGGCCAACAGTATGGCCACCAGCTCCACGCACTGCAAGGCCAACAGTATGGCCATCAGCTCCACCCACTGCAAGGCCAACAGTATGGCCATCAGCTCCGCCCACTGCAAGGCCAACAGTATGGCCACCAGCTCCACCCACTGCAAGGCCAACAGTATGGCCATCAGCTCCACGCACTGCAAGGCCAACAGTATGGCCACCAGCTCCACCCACTGCAAGGCCAACAGTACGGCCATCAGCTCCGCCGTATATACAGCCAGATGATCTGTAATACGTTTCCTGACTTCCACCCCACATTCCTGCACTACAAATGCTGACCCAATATGTCCTATCCTTGGATCTTTTGAACCATCTGTGTAAATGGCCACAAAATACACAGTATCAACACCCTCCCTATCTTTCTGTATTCTCACCAACACTTCTAGATCAACTACTGGAGGCGGGAGTAGCCATGGTGGATTTACAGGAATAACTACCGTTGGACCAAACTCCCTTCCATACAGTCCCAAGCTCGTGTTCTGTCTTCGCTCATGTTCCCAGCATGCCTGTAAAATCCCTTTCGCAGGATGAGACACCCCATGTCCCTGTAGGTTGACCCAATAATTCATTGCCAGCTGCTGTCTCCTAATCTGCAATGGCATATCCCCCATCTCCACCTGTAATGCAGCCACTGGGGAGGTCCGAAACGCCCCACTACATCTTCTGAGTCCTTGCCCCTGTATGACATCTTGTCCGGATTCTTTTGAGGCCCACTGCAATCTTCCGCTGCTCTTCAGAAATACAATGAATCAAAATCAGACCACACCTGGTCACTCTGACAGACTCCGCTTTTCCCAGTGCATCCTTCACCATTTGACACCTCAGACGGGTTTCCCACATATACGTCCTTCCTCAGGAAACGCATCATTATCATTATCAACATCCTTACTCAGGAAACGCATCATTATCATTTACACACGTATCCGCCACTCCAATTTTAGACAACTTCCTGTTTGTTCCAGTTTTCGATATTACTGTTGTCCATTCAGGACATTCGTCTTCACCAGATTTACTTGACGCTTAATTCAAACTCAGCCATCTTTCCTTCCCGGTGTCGAACTCCTCAATATAATGGATTGATAGGCACTGTTCTTTATCTACCTCAGTGATTGGCGCAGATGTTCTTCTTCTTCTTCTTCTTCGGTGGTGTTTTAGGGTGGACTACAACCTGCCGCCCACTACTGGATGCAGAAAACAAAAAAGGGGGGAATGGAAAAGGGAAAAACATAACTTTTAACTTCCTCAAACGTCCGAAAAACATCATATAAAAACAAAAAAATCCTCAGTCATTCAAATTCACTCACAGCACTGCACAGATCCGGGGACCTGAGAGGATGGGACTGCTCCAGCCAGTAATCTGTGCAGTAAAAGATGATCCATTATATTGGCCAGATACTCTAGTGGCCGCTCTAACAGACCACATGTTAGGGCATCACATGATGCAGTCAGTCCAGACCCGGCCCATCACAGCACAGCTCTACCAGTCCAGACCCGGCCCATCACAGCACAGCTCTACCAGTCCAGACCCGGCCCATCACAGCACAGCTCTACCAGTCCAGACCCGGCCCATCACAGAACAGCTCTACCAGTCCAGACCCGGCCCATCACAGCACAGCTCTACCAGTCCAGACCCGGCCCATCACAGCACAGCTCTACCAGTCCAGACCCGGCCCATCACAGCACAGCTCTACCAGTCCAGACCCGGCCCATCACAGCACAGCTCTACCAGTCCAGACCCGGCCCATCACAGCACAGCTCTACCAGTCCAGACCCGGCCCATCACAGCACAGCTCTACCAGTCCAGACCCGGCCCATCACAGCACAGCTCTACCAGACCAGACCCAGCTCAACTCAGCTCAGCACCGACCACTACCCTAGGGTCTGACAAAACACTGTTGAGGGTAGTGCACCACATGATGCAGTCAGTCCACACCACGTATCATTCACAGCCCTCATATGCTGAGCGTTTGAAGCGTCGCCAGTCTGCAGGACTCGTGTCCTGACATTCTGGTTCTCTCAGAAACATGGTTAAATGGTTCTGATAAAGACATTGAAGTAAATGATTATAATGTATTTACATGTGACAGAAAGGGGTGGAGTGGGCATGTACACTACATTTTAGTCATTTAGCAGACGCTCTTATCCAGAGCGACTTACAGGAGCAAATAGTGTTAAGTGTCTTGCTCAATGGGCACAGACAGATTTTTCACCTAGTCGGCTCGGGGATTAGAACCAGCGACCTTTCGGTTACTGGCACAACGCTCTTAACCACTAAGCTACCTGCCGCCACTAAATGACCAACAGTATGTGGACACCTGCTCATCCAACATCTCATTCCAAAATCGTGGGCATTAATATGGAGTTGGTCCCCCCCTTTGCTGCTATAACAGCCTCCACTCTTTTGGGAAGGTTTTCCACTAGATGTTGGTACATTGCTGCGGGGACTTTCTTCCATTCAGCCACAAGAGCATCAGTGAGGTTGGGCACTGATGTTGGGCGATTAGGTCTGGCAGTCTGCGTTCAAATTCATTGCTCTGTGCAGGCCAGTCAAGTTCTTCCACACCGATCTCAACAAACCATTTCTGTATGTACCTTGCTTTGTGCAAGGGAAACAGGAAAGGGCTCTCCCCAAACTGTTGCCACAAAGTTGGAAGCACAGAATCATCTAGAATGCCATTGTATACTGGAACTAAGGGGCCTAGCCCGAACCATGAGAAACAGCCCCAGACCATTATTCTTCCTCCACCAAACTTTACAGTTGGCACTATGCATTGGGGCAGGTAGCGTTCTCCTGGCAATCGCCAAACCCAGATTTGTCAGTCGGACTGCCAGATGGTGAAGGGTGATTAATCACTCGAGAGAACGCGTTTCCACTGCTCCAGAGTCCAATGGCGGCGAGCTTTACACCTCTCCAGCCGACGCTTGGCATTGGGCATGGTGATCTTAGGCTTGTGTGCGGCTGCTCGGCCATGGAAACCCATTTCATGAAGCTCCCGACGAACAGTTCTTGTGCTGACGTTGCTTCCAGAGGCAGTTTGGAACTCGGTAGTGAGTGTTGCAACCGAGGACAGACGATTTTTACACGCTACGCGCTTCAGCACTCGGCGGTCCCGTTCTGTAAGCTTGTGTGGCCTACCACTTCGCGGCTGAGCCGTTGTTGCTCCTAGACATTTCCACTTCACAATAACAGCACTTACAGTTGACCGGGGCAGCTCTAGCCTGGCAGAAATTTGACGAACTGACTTGTTGGAAAGGTGCCATCCTATGACGGTGCCACGTTGAAAGTCACTGAGCTCTTCAGTAAGGCCATTCTACTGCCAATGTTTGTCTATGGAGATTGCATGGTTGCGTGCTCGATTTTATACACCTGTCAGCAACGGGTGTGGCTGAAATAGCCGAATCCACTAATTTGAAGGGGTGTCCACATACTTTTGTAAATATAGTGTATTTACAAAAGAGAAGTGCCTTCTCACTTAAATCATATTTTTTGGTTTTTAATTTCCATGGTTTTTACACCGGAAGGTGA